GGCAATAGAAATTGTTAGAAAGATTTTTACAGGCAATGACCAACGTGAATACAGGGACACTTCGGTCCCTGTTTGGGAATCGGCCCACTGAGCAGTGGACTCAGGCTTCCCGTGCCAATCCTTGACGCGTTTCGTCCTTGTTAGGACTCATCAGAAGGACATAGGCTGAAGCTCCCTGTCCAAGCAAAATTGAACTTCGTTGACCAGTCAGAAACAACTACTCCGAGGGCAAATACCCCTACCGAAGTGTCCCTGTATTCACGTTGGTCATTGCCTGTAAAAATCTTTCTAACAGAATAGGAATGTTCACAAAATAAAAAAATCTCATTTAACAATCATCAAATTAATAAGCATCATTTCATAAGTAAATCTACAAAATTTTACGAAAATCAGAAAATTCTTTCTATGAGATAAACGGAGACGAAATATTAATATTCGTTTAAACGCACGAAACGCTCTCTGACGTAAAAATGCGTAACGAATTAGCGCGCGCAAGTACAGTGGCGCTACTAGCTACTTGGATCAGCCTTTTGTGACGTTGCTTTTACTATTTTTGTTGGCAATAAAGAGTATTTACATTAAAATTATTGTTATTATTATTATGGTTAGCTTTTAATTTAAAGAGAGAGTCTGTTTAACGTTTAACAAGTATTTTGATATTGCTGCTATCTCCTTCGTGTCGATATCCGTGTTTAGGGTTTATCAAAATTAAGGTAGAAAAGGTACTAGAGAGTTCTCGTGCTGTCCAAATTTCCAATACCGTAGCGTTATTTGACAAGTATGACAGTTTTTACGGTATTAGCGTTAGCGGAGCCCGCTACCTAACGTCAGTTAGCGGATGCCTTACCGTAACGCTATGCTATGTCAAAATTAGTTTACGCTCTATTTACGTTTGCAAGAACAGCAACTTCTAATAATTCCTCCATAAAAAACACTAACGGCCAGTTCCATAAATATGACGTTAAGTCGGCTTTAAGAAAAGAACACTTTTCGTTGAAGTATACTTCAAGCAGCCCTTAAAGTCAGTTGGGTTCCATAAAACATTTTAAATCGTCTGTTACAAAAAGGAGTAATTATGGGTTTTCCCGATTTGGCAACATTGAAATTGAAAAGATGAAGTTGGATTTGACGTGTGTTGACAAAAATTGTAACCATTTCAAAAATGATTAAAATAAGTGCAGAGAACAAAATGAGAGAAAGAAGAGCGCCCCTTTTTCAAAGGAGGATCAAAATTGTTTATTGGAAGCTATTAATGAAGAGCGCAAATTGAAAATAAAGAAACAAATAAATTAACAAATGCAGACTAGGTTTGTAGTAGTTTCAATTTGGTTTTATCCTAAGGAGATGGATCTCGCAAGAGAAAGGGCTTCAACACCATACCATGGACCAGAGCCCTATTGTGGCTAAATGAAAAGCCACATCATGGAAGAACTCAACAAACGAGGGAAAGACCGTCATCATATTGGAGGCACACTCCGGGAGAGCACCTGCTCTGCGAATGTCCAGTCCAATTCTGCAAGAGGCTCAAATTACTCGAGGAAACAACACTGTCATTAGAAGAAGTAGGCAAACTGACACCCAGAAAAATGGCTTCTTTCGGCTGAAGTCTACGCTTCCTGGGGACATTTCAAGATGTAGAGTCACGTACAAAATATCTGCAAAGGTAGCAGTGCTGAGCGGCTGGAAAGCCGAAACGACTCCCACCACAATCTACAAATCCTATGCATGAAATATTCTAAGGAGAAGGCTTAGGAACGCGTTTTAGCTTACAATGCTAGTGGAACGATTGTAAGACATATAGATCAAATGAAGCAGAAAGACAATTTAAAAGAAAGGAAGCTTGTCTGTGCTTTTTCATCTAGTACTCCTACAGTCGGCTTTGCTAACCTAAACAGCTCAAAAAATTCTATGTTGTCATATTTTTTAAAACAATCCACTCTCATCCTGTATCGCTTAATATAATTTCATATTTTCATCTGGATGGGTCGAAATTTGCCATAAGGTAAACGTCACTTTTTCGTAATGGCTCCTTTGAAAACTGTTTATGGAGCACATTTTATAAGTTTTAAAGGTACTTTTTAAGAATAAAGTAGACTTTATTGCGATTATGGAACTGGCCGTTAGGGATAATTAATGAAACTCAGGCCCAACAAACACAATTACATTCCAAAGACGTACATAAGATGTAACATTATGACATACTGTACGTCTGTAAGACGTCGATTTTAGAGCCAAGTACGTCTTAAAGACGTAATGGGCAAGTCGTATGTCAACTCCATAATACGTCTTAAACACGTACAACATAGAGCCATAAAGAACGTCCATAATACATCTTGAAGACCTAATTAAGTACATATTTCAAACCAAATAAAAGAGGATTTTTTTACTCAAATCGTTTATTATTTATTCGCTATTAGCTTACTAAACCTGGAATAAAAACAAAAAAAAAACATTAATTCAAAAGTATTGCAACTATACGTACATAAATAAAGCATAACCTAAAAGAACAGCAACAACATTCTGTTAAGGATTGATTGGGTTGGGACTCTGGTAAACTAATTAGCACAGACTGTTTCACTGAACTGACTGAACTTAATTTATTATTAATAAATTGGGAATATTCTGTCTATAACAACCTTAGAGCAGGTCTACAGTAGAACTAACGTTTAACCGGTTTAACCTCGTGTTCTGGAAACATCCATCAACATCACAATAACACATAAACTTTTCTGCTTATCCCACTTCTGAAATTGCAGGCATGGGTCTAATTAACTAAATTGTTGTTGTATTTTCTTTATTAAATAATTTTCACATAACTTTTGCACAAAATTTCTAACAGGCTTCTAACCTAACGTGTCGTACGCCACCTCACATGACATAAAGACATAACCTCAATATCGGAACAAGGATATTACACCTCTCCTTTGCTAACTACCCTAACATCTACGACATCATTTGTCAAATTTCATAATGACCGTAAATGAGAGCGAAATTCAAATATTCAAATTTAAATTTCTACAGATCAGATCTGTTTGTATTTTACACTTTAAACATAAAACCAAAATGGTGGACGTAACTGTACGTAATATGGATGTTTAAATATGGACCTACATAAGACGTACAAAAGTGTACCTCTTATGTACGTTCTGAATGTTCTGAATAGGTCATATGGACGTACGGACGTAAATATGACATAAAATGGACGTTTTATGTATGTAGTTTGTTTGCTGGGGGAATCTTCAGGATGAATAAAAGTTGGCAAACAAGCAAAAAAGTTGGGTTAGATCACTCAATTCAGCTGTCAAAATATAAGCAGAATAAGGGATTAGAGGATTTTTGTGTCTTCGTGTCCGAGAACTATAAAATACCATTTAAAATACCGTATTTTTAGCGGTACCGTATTAGCGTAGCGTCTGAGGCACAAGAACTTTCTAATATGGCTAAAATGGAAGAAGGTTTTCAAAAGGCCGATTCACATATTCTGCCAACTGTGGACGTTACTATGACTATGGTATCAGAATTTTTGGTCAAGTGTCAAGACTTGAATCGAATCTGCCCCAGTTCAGTGGTGTAAAAGTAAAACAGGCGTATTAGACGTAGGTATAGTTGAATTTGAATGGTGATATATAGTTATTTACCTATAACAAGTGCGGAAATTTATACATTTCCGCACGCAACGGCATTTGCACGAACGACGCGCCAGCAAAATTCGTGCAATATACTTATTTACGCTCGTGTTAGGCACATTTTTTCTGCGAGCGTGTGGAAAACGGGTCTTCACGCATCGATTTGCGTGCAGAAAATACCACATTTCCGCACCTCTTAGGAAAACTCACACGAAGGTACCACTTTTTTCGACTCGGTTTAACTTTGTTTAAGTCTCCCATCATTACACAAACACAGATAATTAGAGTGAATGAAGCTTCTTGGGATAAAGCAACAGTCAGCAACTCAATGAATTCAATGTAAACTTGTAAACAAATCTCGCCAATGCGCCAGCTGATTGTTCATTCCGCACAGTGACGTCACAAGCGCTACTCTCGCCGCAGGGAGTCGTTTTGCTGGCCTCGCTAATTTCGTTTTTTTTGTTTTCGATTTATTAGAAAAAATAAAGGGTTTCTAGATGTTTTAACGCCTAATACGTGTTTTGTGGACCAGAAACCACCATTTTTTATTACAATTGAAAAATAGTGAACATTCCTATTGGAAGTTAGAACCTTAGATTATATACAGGCTAACACCTAGATACGCATAGTCATTCATAAATCACCCAAATGTTTCGGCCAACATCAAAAAACCCGTTCCACGTTTTTACGAATGGGTAAAAAATACAGCTTTTTTTTTCAAAATTTTCAATTGCACATTAAATCGGTTCCATCAAAATAGTTGCCATAATGGGCCACTTTCACATTTTTCAAAAACATATTTAAATTATTCTTTTAGTCATTTTAATACTATCTGTATACTTTTTTCCGAAAAAAAAAACGCTGATTTTTGAAAAAAAAAAATATTTAAAAAGCGAATTTTTAAACTGGCGCGAAAACGCGAACTTGGTTTGTGACGTCACAAACCAGAAAATCAACAAAAATGCAAGGATGCCAAATTTCTCATTAGTAAATCATTACACATTTCACTAGCTAGAGACTATTTTCGTCCTTTACTACGTTATAAAAAAATAAAGGATAGGATAATCCTTATTAACTCATTTTAATTTCGCATTTCTACATGTGGCAACAAAAAAGTCAACATCGGCTTCAACCAATCACAGAGCGTTTTCAATCACGTGATTTTTCGTTTAAATTTTTAATTTGTATTTATTAATTTATTTGATAATCTGACTAAAATCTTGCAAAATATTGTTCATTCTCGGTTACATTGATGTATCTGCGTCAAAAAACATCATAATTTGCCATATTCCCGGCACGTGAAAGTGGCCCATTGAGCATTTCATCGTCTTCATTCATCGTATCAGCCTCATGCTCTTTATCTACTTCATCCAGGGCAGTGGACACTTCGTTAGTAACAGCCTCCTCTATGTCATTCTCTTCCAAGGAAGGCTTTATGATGGAAGCATTGTTACAAGACCATTGCAGTTTTTACACAGTTGAGAAACATCGCATTCCAGCTTTAACGTACCCGCACTGTGAGTTAGCACAGTCTGTTGTGCAGCCACAAGAAATCTGGCGACAGAAAAAATATAAATCATTGCCCAGGGGTGCAAATTGCGATGCCACCCAAGCAGTGGCACGTATATTGGCCATCTAACGTGCAGCCATTATGATCCGTGCTATCGGATACGTGCTGAATATGGACCCCATCTTCAATAGTCATTTTAGGTGGATTCAATATCAGAGACGTTTCGTATTGTTGCAAATGGTGATATGACACAGAGACACCCATTTGATCTAACACATCGATAATTTGCCCTTGAGCCAGTCTTCTTATAAATATAAGTACCAACTGATAACTGCAATGTTGAAATGAATGTGCGAGAACAAATCGCTGAAATTATGGAATGTGAAATAATTTTTTCTTCACAAGATAATCATCACTTTGTGCGTTTTCAATCAATGCACTAAGGAAATATCGGAGTGAATCAGGAACGTCCTTATCAATGTCATCAAGAAATTGCGTAGCTGGTGGAAAACTCTCTACATTATATTGCTTGGCCTTTATGTCTGTCTTAAGTAACCGAGCCGCAGTTTTGAGAACTACCTCTTTCTCATATTCATCATAGTCTTCATCCCAATAAAATTTGTTACACATACTCCCTATATTGAAATATTTGTAATAAATAATTGTTGGTTTCCGTTGCTGCTGACGAATATAAATCGATTTGCCATATTTATTGTGTAACATTTTATAGAGTCCTTCTGTCACAGCAGTTTCGTTTCATTACGTTTTGTAATTCTGGAAGAGTAAATTCAAATTGTCCCACTTTCTTCAATGTAATTACAAACAAAGTCGAATGATTTTTTGTTTAAAGCAGTCGCAGGGGATGGGGCACTTGCAGTTTGGTTCGCTTCAAAAAATATCAAATAACATTTCGAGTGATATCTGGCTTGTACGTCGACCAAGGAGGTGATTCCATCAAGCCTGTGTAAGACTGTTGCTGCTAAACTATCATCTCGAGTAGTAGCTGCATCTAATATTTTATCCAGAATGAAATTCTGTTTTACTGACCTCCATTGATTTTGGTTTTGTTTTGTATTGCAATCACCACCACAAAGAAAACATAATTTGACGAAATCAAAATCTTTCGCATCCTGAGGTGTGACTGATGGCGTGTTGGTTAGAAGATTTTCTGATGCTCGAATTGCAGTTGAGGGTGCTGTTGAGATGTCAGGGGTGCAAGATGTCCCCGGAGATGATATTGTTGAGTCATTCGTACATATTGTTGATTTAGCTACAGGCGAAGTCAAATAGCGCAATCGACAAGAAGTGTGAGAGAGCAGTTCTGTTAAGCCAGTCCAATGCATCCATTTATCATCACTTTTCGATTTACTCTTTTCAATTAGCGTTACCAAACCTTTTGTCTTGACGATTACTTTATCCTTTTGATTATTCACAGGACCATTGCAAAAAGGACATGATTCATATGTTATTTCGTTAAACGAAATTCTCTGAAATATTTAAATAATTCAAAGATATTAGGGAAAGAAATATTGGTACCTCTTGGCTGTATAATTTGTCTTCTGGCAAGGCAAAGCCCAATTCTGCTGGGTAAATATTAAGTTGTTTGTTTCTTATTTACTTATTTTATTTATTTATAATGGGTTGCCATCTATAACATTTTTTTTTTTTCGTCTTTATTCACAAGATTTTTTAATATTTTTTATCTAAGGTACCTGTCCCAAATAAGGCCAGGTTAATAAGTTTTATTATTTCCTAACATTATCCACAAAACCCAACAAAAATCACGAGCTTAAATGTGAAGTGTTTCGCTTCTATTACTTAAATATTAACTCCAATTTATTTATTTTTTATATAAGTGGTGGTTTTTGCGTAAAACAAAGAAGCTTACGATTGGCCCTATTTGGATCACTATGCTCCTAATAAGGCCACCATTGAAAAATACTTAAAATAAATACAATTATTTATAAAAAATATTTTAATTTGAGAAATAGTACACAAAATAGAACTTATACGTTTGCTGCATTCCTAAAAACACAATGATTCCAAGTCCTGGGATGGTTATCCAAATAGGTCTACACTCGAGTCTACATACAACTAGGACAAATGAACCGCATCATCTCTTGCATGGTTGGACTCCAAGCATTTCAAAAAACATAACTAAGGTGTCAAGGTGATAATATGACACATTCTTTTAAAAAAACACTGTGATGTGAGGTGAATTGAACATTTTTGTATGATGGCCTTATTAGGAACATGTTTAATTGATAAAAAAAAAGTCTGTAACTATAAATCTAGTAAAGATTTTATTCTGTACTTACTCTGTAGCTTTCTCAATACTTAAATGTCCATGTAAAAATTACTTTCGCTCCATTCACTCTATAAACATGTGTATAAACTAATATTAGGTTCCAGCCTCAAAGTTATAACGTAACATATGAAATATGTGGTTGGCCATTTTTCGACATATGACGAGTTGCTAGGAACCCCAACAAAATTGTTTGATTTGCATTAGAGATTTATTTTTAAATAACATTGTAATTTTTGAAAATGGGATTCGATATTAAGTAATAAAGGGCACTGGCCTTATTAGGTACATGGCCTTATTTGGGTCAGGTACTTTAAATGATTTTTTTGTCATACGCTCCCAAAAACAGCTATTTTACGGAATCATTCAAGTCCGTAAAATGCTTCTTTTTAGGATTTTTTTTCTTTCTGGATGCACCTTTATGAATTCAAAAATTAAGGAAATTTTGAAAATTTTAGCGTTCTGAAGAATTCTAAAAAGCGTATGACAAAAAATAGTGTTTGTCACAGTTACCCAAAGAAGTTTTTCAGGACTCATCTGCTATTCCGCAGCAATGATTCGTCCTGAAAAACTTCATTTTAGGTACTTGTGACAAAAATAACTATTTGACACATTAGTTCTAAAAAAAAAAATTATGCTTTGCAATTGCAATCAATAAAAAAATAATCGAACACTTACCTATCTATATATATAAAAATTAATGCCACTTTCCGTTGTAATTTTATGACTCAAGAACGGGCTCACCTAGCCAAACCAAATGTTTAGGCTTTGTTCGGACTATTTATTAGATGGTTTATGTGAAGTTTGCACAAAATCGGTCGAGCGGTTCTTCATTTATCACATTTTTTGTAATAAATGAATTATTCAATAAATGGAGGATCATTTTGTTAATGGGGATTTTGCTGTCAAATTGAAACTTTTTTCAGCGTTGACAGTACCAGCATGTTGTTATGTCATTAATGTGGTCATTTCATTACTTATTTTATTTATTTATGAAAAAAATTTACTAAGCCCGCATACGGCGCCATCTCTCATAACCGATACCAAGTTTATTTTGTATTTTGTATACCGCGCCATCTCTGATACCTGGAACGAAGCTCGGCATTGCAGATGCAGTAGAACAATGCTGCTCAGGAACTGGAGCTATTTCGAACAGAACTATTCCATTATTCCGATCAGATAGAGTGGTGCAGAAAGAGTAGATCAGATAGAGTAGTGCAGATAGAGTAGAACAGATGGAGTAGTGCAGTGCATGCAGTGCAGATAGAGTGAAACAGGGCTGCGCTAGAGAATTTTTTTGTTTTCTTTAAATTCTTTGAACATTCCTGTGCCTGAGTTTATTTATTTGGTGGTACACTTTACAAGAATAATGCCCACAAGCTGCTTAAAAAAGGATGATGTAAAATTTTGATTTTAAGTGACTTCTGATCCAGACAGTAAACATTAATTTTCTTCAACCAAAGCCAAATTCACCATCGAAAAAATCTGAATTTAATTCAGCTAATAGATACGTTAACACAACATTTAATAGGTATATTTAATAATTCAGAGGCGGTACGAAGTTCGCCGGGTCAGCTAGTATAATATAATTATATACAATATAACTCCAATTCAAATGCACAATAAAAATAACAATAACAATAGTCAACTTCACTATGATATACTTATTAAACAATTTGCTCTTTAAACCCACTAGAAAAGAAATTAAACCACTATTGAATTCTAGTTGTTTTCTTTTTTTCATAAACTGCAAATATCTTGTCGCGCGCACTGCGAAAATGGAATATTTGCCGAAAAATAAAGAACATAATTCTCCCTGGGCACGTCAGCGGCGCCCAGCGCATTTTTTTTTTTTCATTTTTGTGGGTAGCGAAACTTTGAAATTAGCTAAAGGGTTAACGATAAATGATAGAGAGAGAAACTTCAAACGTTTTTTACGCGAAATTTTACATGCTCCAACATTTGTTTTGAATTTTTTCCCGAGTTCTCATTCATCCGCGTAATATTTGAATTTCAACCCTTAAATATTTTTTTTCGCCCTTAAGCAGGGGACTAATAGTTAAAATTCATGCGTAGATCGATTTAGAATGTTGAAAACCATAATATATGAAATTTTCAGCCTGTTACTCAAATTTTGTCTCAGTTGAGACCTCGTCTCTGCGACTATTGTTTTTTACTCAATCGTGCCGGTGTTAATGGAAATTGTGCTATTTTCCATACACCAAAAAAAGTTGAAATAAATCCGGGGGTTGATTTTATTTTTATTCTGTAGGTTATTATTTTCAGTGGTTGAGAAAATTGAATATCCCTTTCTCGTTTGTTGTGATCTATTATTATTTCTTTTTTTTAAATTTAAATCTGAATACTCGATTTTGACCACAAAACACTCAAAACAGTACAGATATAGACTTTGCCGATAGGGTTCTCACGAATCCGATATTCAGGTCATTCTGGGAGGGGGATAGGTATTTGTGTCGAAGCCGTTTCGTCCTGGCAATTTTTTTTTTAAATATGTATATCCAGGCAAAAACGAGTCTCGTGCAAGTTTATTTGGAAAATTAATGGTCCTTCCAGAAACATTTCGGTCACCAAATGGGTTACTTTCTTTTCTATACAATATCAACAATAGTCTCCTCGTAAATTCGCTTAAAGTAGGTAGGTTAGTCTTGGTTTTGTAATAGTCTTTCAGGGAACGGGTTAATTTGGGCAGTAGGTATTTAAGGTGGGCACAATTCGCACTTACTCCGGCACAATTGATCACAAAATGAGCACAATTGAATGAGAAAAAAATATTGCAAAAAAAGTCAAAAAAATGGGGGGCTGG